TGTTTTTTTCAAACGGGAAATTTTATCCGGGTTGAGGTGCTCACTTTATGTTTCGACTTCATAATCGAGCACATAACAGTGCTCGACCGGATAAGAAAAGTCGAGACAGTTTCGGAACATACCTCAAGATACGTTTCAACTGTATCTCGACTTTTTCTTTTCCTGCCAAGCACTATTATGTGCTCGATTATGAAATTCGAAACACAAAGTTAGCACCTCGACCCGGGGAATATTCCCCGTTTGAAAAAAAAAACAGATCCTGTCAGATTCGGTCGAATCCAGGACCTTTGTAGTCCCAAATGTTTTCGTTACCTCTAGACCAAGTGTGCCGGAGACAAATTCATTACGCAGATTGGAAGCTGAGCTTCGTACCACTTGCGAAGCAAATATGAATGACTATGAAAATCAAACTGAAAAAATTCAAAAAATCGTTTTTGTCAAAAACTTGCAACAAAAGTCCAAAAAATCAGGAAGAAAATTGCCTGGACGATTAGAAACTCTACCAAAAGCTTTGGAATTGCTATAAAGAATCCATGTTTTCAAATAAGTCCTTTCTGCAGAACTAAGCAGACAAAAATAAGCAGAGAGACAATAATTTAAATTAGCCAAAATTCTCTATTTGCAAGAAAAACAGTTCTCATTTGGAATCGAACTCCCGGGCTTTGTCGTCTCAAGCATAGGGATTATAGCAACTTGGAATAAAGCTAAACCATTGGGTTACGGCAACTAAGCCGACAAATATAAACAGAGGGAAGATAGTCCGAAAAAGCACAAAAACTCCAGTTTGCAATAAAGGTCCCAGGCGGATTCGAACCGCTAATCGTTGTCATTCTATTCTACTTGCACAAATCACTGGCTACCCTGGCTTCTCTTCCAACCCGCGTATACATCAGTCCATAGGCGGATCTAGGATTTTCTCGAGAGGAGCGAATTTTCAAAATATGTCCAAAATATTGTCGACACTTTTTGGCCGGCCAAATTAATTTTCCGAGCTCCCTCAAAGCTCTAAAAAGACTCTGTTTTGCCAAAGTTGTCGCCGACGGCTCCTTCAGAGAAATCTAGGGTCTAAAGTTTTAAAACCACATCAAACGTGACCCTTTGGGTAGTCAGATGGTCGAATCCTTGAGGGGAGGGGGCGTCTACAACCCCCTAAATCCGCCTCTGCAACAGTCTATGCTGCAGCAGCCACACCATTTCGCCCTTCCCTTGTTCTCTCTCTACAATATTATAATTAACTTGTCAATGAACAGAGCTATATGATTTGAAGTTCAAAATTATTTGATCGATGGATGGCCACTAATTTGAACAAGCGAAAACAGAAAACTGTTTGCCACGAAAAAAAATGATTGCACCCCGTAAACTTCGGTACCGCTGATTTAATAGTTTTTAGAGGCGGGTTTTCTTAAGAATTTACTATGGTGGTGAATAGCAACCGAGATCACTGGTTCAACAATTAGGAGGCCAAAATCCGTATTTTGTGAATTGCACGCATAATCCTCAACAAGCCAATATCAAACTTGCTAATTTTCTTTGGTTCTCTTTGCTTTGGATTCTACGAACAAAAAGCGAAAACACTGTATCGGTAAAAACTGCTCCAAAAACAACTCGTTTTGCAGAATCCGGAAACCAACAATAAAATATGTGTATAGTAAAATTGCGCTGTCGGGGAATCCGCAAAATGTAAGCGGAATCTGTTACGTCTTTAAAAAGTTACGTCTTCAATTAAATCCAATTTTAGCTGCTGGATATCTAAACTAATTTTTAGGATATCGGATGAAATGGTTATAAATTATACTGAGCTTCAGGATATTGGAAGAAGTGGTTAATTACACGTTGATGCCAAAATTATATAAGTCATTTTTACCTGCAGTACACCGCAGGGAAATTAATAAGGGGTACATCCTCGAGTTTTGTAAACCAAAATTTAAGATGTGTTAGTGAGTCCCACTTTTAATGTCTAAGTCCTTTCTGTAAAATTCCGCATTTGCTAGATATTCATTCTAGCTCTAGTTTTCATTTTTTCACGCTCAAAATCAGTTCAGTGTAATAAATAAAATTGAAGAATCTACTTACAAATTATGGAATCCGCCTACATTTTACAGAATCTGGAACAAATAGCTGTATTTAATACATGAAAATTGTATGATAAACATTTTTTATCAAAAAATAAAAAAAATTTATTGAGCAGAAAGATTCAAAAGAGGAAATAGAACAGAAGTATTTCTCTAAAAAAGTTTAATTACATTTTTTAAGTTTTGTATGAAATTTGTATGATAAGCATTTTTCCATAGTCGCCATATATGAAATTGCATGACAAGCATTTTTTATGGACGTCAACCTGGTTATTGTGTCGACAAAATTTACATTACACATTATGGTACGCAGAATCTATGGAAATTTTGTGAAAGGATCCACTCAATTTTTGGAACCTGTTTAAAACCTTGTCTCTGGATTCCGTAGACGTACAGACACCAAAACAGTAAGGTAATTATTCGGAATGAGTAAAATAGTTGAAGCCCCAGTAGCCTACCCAGCTAAACGCCTCAGAGGCTTGCCACTCTACCGTCTCACCAAGAACGGCAACTCGCAACAAAAGACAACTCACAACAATTAATAAATATTTCGGCAAAACTCTTTTGACAAAAGAGCCAATGCCGGGTTTTTAATGTTTTATTGAGCATCCATCAAGTATAGGCTCACATAATTGGCCAAATCTCATCAAAAATTCTCATGTCAAACACTTAAATAGCTGTGGTGGAAAATGGTTGTGAGAATTGTCTGTGGGTAGCCGCTCCTTTAAATAACTATTCAATTATTCATTCTCGTCCATAATCAGAGTCTAAACAGTTATACTTAGTCACAGATAGTCAGTTGTATGTAATCGCCAATACAATTTCTAAACATGGAAATATCGCCACAACAAAAGTAACAAAAGTAACCCAAAATTTCAGTTCGAAATCCCCAAACACTTGGAAAAACACGTGGGATCACAAGCTCAACGAAATTGCAAAGTGCGTTTACAAACAGTGGCATTCGAAGGAATATTTCTCTGGGGAGGGAGCGGTTTCGAAAAAATTTTTCTGATATATGCCTATCTTTTTTGTTCCGACTTTCGATACGAAAGTAGCGGAATATTTGTGCTGGGGGTGGGTTTTTTTTCTTAAGAAATTTTCGACCTTTTAACTAGCCATTTTTGACGGATGTTTTAAATATCAATCGAAAGCTATTGTTGTCTTGAGCTTAATTTTGGCAAGATATTCGATTGTGATCATTTTCGTACAGTTAGGGTTTAAAGATTGCCATTTCGACCAATTTGGGACAATTAACGCGCGATATATTTCGCGCTATTAACGGGTACGCGGAGATTTTATCCGTTTTAAAAATCGTTCCAAATTCGTTCAAGGAAGTTTTTATGTCATAATTATTTTGTTAATAGGAGCAAAATCTACCACTTTGTATTTAAATGGCGTGAGGGGGGAAAATTTGAAAAAAAATTAATTCAATTTATTGTATTTAAATTTTTCATTTTTAGACCTTAAAAGGCAGTCGGAACATTCAGGGCTTCGCCCTGATACGAGCAAACTTGTTTATGTTTTGGAGCAAAAACAAATAAGAATTCGTTTGTTTCAGAAACTGGAAAAAAGTGTTTTAGCATTACAATAGTTGGGACGAAATCTATCATTTTGTTAAGACTTTTGCAGAAAGCATTGAATAATTGCTCTGGGTGTGTTTCTTTTTTTCTTTAGACGAGTTCCGACTTTTTAACCAGCCGGTTTTGACAATTTTTTTTTTCTAAAATCTGAAAAACAAGTGTTATTTGAGCTCAAAAATTCCACAAAAGATATCACCTGCGAACTTTTATAGTTAATTTCTGCGAATTTCAACATCCATATATTGCAGCGAGAAGTTTTTTGAGCAGGTCAAAACATGCTATGTTAAAAAGTGAATGAACTTCAAGATGCACTATAATCTGCTGCTTGTCTGGTATGAAACATAAGAAAACCCACGTTTGAAAAAAAGTTATGCTTGCACTATTTTTTTTTTACTATTTAACTCCTTTTAATTGATTGTTCTAGAAAAGATTTTGCATTGTTGCTTTAAACGTTTCCCTAGTATATCAAATATTGCGAAAGAGTTTGAAATTTGGCGCTTGTGTTTCAAACATGGCACAAACACCAACTACACAAGTGTGTTTTTTGGGATACATAACTCGTGACCTTTTCGGTCTATTGAAAAAAAGTCTAATCAACAAATATAAATTAGTTCAACCTAATTTCAAGAAACTGTATAATCCTATGATAACATTTATTGGCAAACGCGTCCAGACAATTCGGCCAAAGACAATTTAACCAATAATAGTGACCACCGCAGTCGCGCCAACCTGTTGCGAGCTTGCCAACAGAGGGTAGGACTCTATGCGAAATTTAGAGCCGGTTTTATGGGTTTGAAATTTGTCATTTGGGGCAATTGGCGATCATAATTACGCGCGAAGTTTGCATAAACTTTTCATTAAAGAGTCGAAACTTGCTTTTCCTTAATTTTAATAACCTTTGATAAATTGAGCAATGCTAATTCCGGAGCCATTCGGAAAAATCTGTAAGAATTTTTTTCGAATTTTTTTCTAAATAAGAAAATAGGTATAATTTTTTTTCATGTCAAATTATGGCTTAAGCACACTTCATTTTTGATCTTTCACTCGCACATTTATTTAAGTTAAATGCAAATAATCGATAAAAGTATAAATTTTTGATGCTTAAAAGCTTTGCGAAGGTAATTTTTGCGGAAAGAATACGTCACTTTTGATTTTGAGCACTTCAACAAATATTTCGACCAAATACTTGGCAATCGTCACTGCAAATTAAGGGTCGTATTGAAACTGAAAAGTTTGGTTATAAATTGTTTAAGTTTTCTGCAGCACTACAATTGGAGTACCAATTGATTTTCATTGAACTTTTATTTATAAATCAGCATACGAACCGATGTCTTCTTTATTACAACAGGTTTCTTCTCGATCATGTTGATCACAATTTCCTCAGGAGCACTTTCGACCTCACCCTCCTTGTCCCCCACTGGGGTGATGTCCATGAGGTGGCGGGGGACGAGCGAGGAGGTCGTGGCCTTGGGTGGGGACAGGGTGCAGTTGTCCTGTGTCCACGGCAGTACTGGCGCGGGTGGGGATCACTCAGCGGTGGTTTCTGAGGGGGCAGCAGAATACAAAGAAGCACCAGCGATGGTGTCTTATGGGTGGGAGGGTCCATGGGGTCCAATTTTACCACCAGACAGATACGAGGAAGACATAGAGACCTCAAAGGGGGGACTTCATCACCAACCACGGTGAGTACAAAAAACTTTTAATGTAACTTACTAAATACTGGAGCCATGTGGAAGTGGGCTACTAATTCTCTACTTCCAGTCGAAAGGTCGGATGTTCGAGGCCCATTATGATAAGCCCATTAAGGTAAGATTACAATACCCACCTCAGAAAAGTAACCAGACAAATTGCAAATAACTTTATTCTACGAACACAACAGCCGGTTCTCTGTAAAAAACCAAGCGACTCCTAATTGGCCATTTTCTTCTTGTATAAATCGTACTAAATTGTCGTGATTTAGTGCCCGTGTTACCACTGTTCTTGAAAGTTATAACAAAAACCCATCTGAAGTCTGTGCTGGTTTTGTTTCACATATTCGACTACGCATTCTTAACTATGAATGATCCACCTATCATTTTTGGTGATCTTAGCCTATCATGTTAATCCGAAAGAAAAACTCAGTTCTCAGCGATGTCAAAGTTTGATTATTATTCGTAATATCTTTCGCCTAGACTTAATCAACGCTTATTGTCCAGAATTTAGGAGCCCATTTAGTTCGCACGACTCAATTATGGAATATAGTGCATGAAGTGGCTTCGTGTCATCAACTTGATAGAAAGTACCTTAATTGAGAGGGAAATTAAGCACTTATGCTACAAAGGAGGCGTGAGTTGACTCCGATTGCAGTCTAATTCAAATAGTTTATTAGAGGGGGGGGGGTCATAAGATTATTTAGAGGTAAATGTGAGAATAAAAGGGTTTGAGTGGAGATGATAATCAGAAGAGAGAGATGAAGAATTGGAGTGGAGATGATAATCAGAAGACAAAGGAAAGACGTTAGAAACCTAAGGGGAGACAGCTTTGGGGTTATCTGATTACTCTAACTTTAGCAAGAAGTTGCAAGTGACTTTGAAGATGTTTTGCAAGAAAATGCGTTATTCTTGCTTTTATCTTGCAAGATTAAAATTTATCTTGCAAGATTTTTTCAAGATATGCATTCAGTTTGCAAGAAGAATGCACAGTTTTGCTTTTTTGAAAAAAATTTTTTCATTCAATTTTGCTTTTTTTGATAAGTTCAGTAAATTGTCTCTCAGTCTCTTCAGTGAATATGGTTATAGTTCTTCTACCAAGCAAAATTCCATACCATATATAGCTAAAATATATTTGTCTACAGACAAAGGGATACATATATAAGAATTAAATTCAAAAGTCAATTTTTATTTATTTCATCACTGTTTTTTCTGTGGTTTTACGTGGTTCTACAGCCTAGAATCGGATCTAGATATTCACTGCCAAGAACCAGATTAAAAATGAATATTGGAGAAAAATTGAAAGATACAAATTCAGCTAATTTGTACAAAAATCAAAAATTATTTCACTAGTATTATTGATGAAATATACTCAAGAACAGCTTATTATACCGAAGAACAGCCTATTTTTGCACAGCTTAATTTGTCTATTATGGTCTCTTCCAATATTCATTCATAATCCGATTCTAGGCAGAGAAATTTTAAATCCGATTCTATGCAATGAAATCTTGCAAGAATTGGATCTCTCTAACTTTTGTACTCAAACAAACATTTTTGTACTCAAACAAACATTTTTGTACTCAAACAAACATTTTTGTACTCAAACAAACATTTTTCAAAAAAAAAAATTTCGCATGAAAATTTAATTTTTTGTGTGCATAGCATAGCGTAGTCCTGAATACACTAATATTGGATTATTTTTCCTTTTCGCCTAATAACTTTTCTCAAAAAGGCAAAAACTCCTATTTTTTTTTGTATGGCATGTTTTTGCATGCCTTGATCAATGTCTGATAAATTGAAATTTCAAATTTTGAAAAAAAAACATTGTTGAAATTTTTGCCAAAATTTAAAAGTTTGATAATTTCGTTATATTTTTCATGAAAGAAGGAAAGACAGGCTTAAGACATTTCAGGCCATTTCCAATGCATTTTTAATGAAAAATGGTTGAACCTGTTCTGACTCTAAGTTTGAGTAATCAAGGTTTTTTGTCACTTGTGTTCGGTTTGAGAAACTAAATATTAAAATATTTTTGGTTTATGGAAAAATGCTAGTCATACACTTTCCATATACGAAAAATCATTAATCATAGACTTTTCGTGCAACTTTCTGTACTTATGGAATTGCCTGAAAAGTGTATGACCAGCATTTTTTCGTATATAGAAATTGTAAGACTAGCATTTTTGGTCAACCCGGGTTTTTGCTCAATTTGAGAGAATTTAAGATAACAAGACGTACATTTCTGACTGCACCTTAAATGACGCAAATAGTTTTTGTTCACTTTTTTAGTTAAAATTTTGTAATGCTAATATCAAATGCCAACCCTTTACGTTTGAGTTGTGCCTTACAATTGTAATTGGTCTCAATTCAAATTGGATTAATTATAAGTGCGGATAATTTGCCACGCATGAAAAATTCGCGTATTGAAAGTCTGATACAAACAGCGTTGCCATCTGCATTCTAGCGCAAGTCTAGTGCCATCTGAGTGTATAGTGCAAGCATACTTGCCTGGCAACTCAGAGAGTTTGTATCGATACCCATGCGCTGTCAAATTTTTTGAATTTGGTTTTAATGAAAAACCACCCCAGACATATATTTCTCACTTTCTTCGAAAGTGGGAATGAAAACTATTGCAGACAAAAATGCTTAGGTTTTTACAGTTCCATTAAAAGTTTTATGTAGTTTTTCATTGCGTATTTTTTGGACGCGAGGGTAAAATTCGGACCTGAAGAAAACTATCGGGCAAATTTGTATACGAGTTAAATTAAAATCACTTTCGTAAGAACAAAAAAATTTGCATTAAGAATGCTGGTTAACAATGTTAAAATCGCATTTCCAAACAATAAAATGGCTGTTTATGTCTCGAAATAGCCATTGCGAGTCGTCAAAAATTTCCAACATTTCTTCCATTCAATTTTTAGACATTTTTTGTTTTTTAAAATGCTCGGCCCAATAAAAAAGTCAATTTTCAAACGTCAGATTTTGTGATGTTTTACAGCAAATCAGCCACTGGCATAAAATAAATTAAGACTGAAAGTAATAACAGCAAATTAGTTCGAACTAAATTTCAAACAAGTTTCTTCGTCATCATTTTTTGTCTAGTGTGACACAACTATCTACTGGTCTACTGTTTGGGTAGCTTTTATCACACTCGTTATTGCCTTATTGGAGGTAAAAATTACGGAACTCAGGCATGATGCTAAAATTTTTAAGCTGTAAAATTATATGTACAAATGTTGTTTTGACTTTCGTAACGAAAGTAAAGGAATATTTGTGCTCGGGGTGGGTTTTTTTCTTCAGACAAAACTCGACTTTTTAACTAGACGTTTTTGACGGAACTGTCATATATCAATCAATAGGGAATTGTTGTCTTGGGCTTAAAGCTGAAAAAAATGTTTCTCATGTGATCATTTTTCGTAAAATTATGGGGGTTTAAAGATTGCCATTTTAGTCAATTTGGTACAATTAACGCGCGATATATTTCGCGCTATTAACGTGTAAGCGGAGATTTCATCCGTCTAAAAAATCGTTCCAAATTGGTTGAAGGAAGCTCATTTGCCGTTATTGGTTTGTTAATAGAAGTGAAATCTGTCACTTTGTACTTTATATGGCGGGCGGGTCACATAAAATATCATATTAAAAAAAAGGTTCGTTTGTTTTATTACATTTAATTTTTTCATTTTTCTACTGCTCCATAAACCTGAAAAGGCAGTCGGAACATTCAGAGGTTTGCCCTGATACAAGCAGTCTTGTTCATTTTCAAACTAATTTTTGAACTAATTCTTGGCTTTTTTGTATATTTTCAGCTTCAATGGCTATCAATGGATATCAATGGATAATTGAACATATCAAATTATGTTCAAAAACAAGACGTCAATCAAAGAAATTTTGTAAACGACAAGTTCTTTTTATGTATCAGAAGTTTATCAGCTTAAAATAGTGCATTATCAGAAACAACAAGAATAATGGGCTTCATTTTTTTCTACAAAATTACTAAGTTATCAAAAAATTTAATAATTTTGAACTGTGAAAAACTAAAATTTAGCCGGAAGTCCCCTTGGGTCAATTTCTCGACTGCTATCAGCACTTTGCACTTTTCGAAGCGTCTAAGGGAGGGATGTTCAAACGATTCTAAGACTTATTTTAGACGCCTTTAAGGGCATTCAAAACGTTCATAGTTCGGTCCTCTCATACCATACGAGCAGTCTTCTTTGTTTATTTGTATGGTCACTGCTGCTGTGACATATAATATTAGTAGTAACCTAGATATAACACTGCTGCAGGGGAAAAGGGGACTGGTCTACTCTCCTACCTTGACACAGTAGTCACATTTTAGGCAACATAGGAGACTGTAATAAACTGGGAGACGATGGGAGGTTGGAGTAAGCGGAGATTGTATTGAATTTCTTTTGACATACAGGTAGATTAGACAGGTATATTCCAAAGAGAAGAGGATTAGGAGAGAATAAGAGAGAGCGGAAGAAGAAAGAAAACGAGACTGGGAGAAAGGGGTGACTAGGAAGCCACATTGCGTAAATGACTAGTTAGATGCAACTTGTCAGCTTTCATGGAAGCAAAGATTCTTAAATGTTCAAATGCTTCTGCTCATATGCGATTATGTCCCCACTAAGGATAGAGATAGATAAAAAAACTTAGCAAGTATTTATCAGTTATCTAAAATTTTATCAGTATCTAAAATGGGTACCTAAAAATCTAAAAAATCAGACGTTTTAGAAATCAGTCGGTTTGACAGTTGCCTGTTTTGAAAATCGACTGCCATTTTTGGCCATTCAAAACTTAATTAAGAGGTACTTAAAGGTATTTAAAGGCTACCAAATACAGAAAGTATGTGGGGAAACCTCCCTAAACTAAGTTTGTAAGAAAACTCTTTTAGATTATTGAATTAATTGGTTTACCTTCTTTCGCATTAGAAAGAGTTAATAAGAACGCGGAGGCTCATATGTAGAACATTCCAAAACAATCAGCAATCTAAAAACTTCGATGAGAATTTATTTTTTTCTTAACAAATACAGCACCAACTAAAGATAAAACCTTTAAAAATTACGAAAAATTTGTTAAATTTTCTGATGTGAATAGAGAGCGCCTAAAAGTTTTAAAATGTACAGAAAAATTTCAACTTTTTGTATATTTAAGGATTATTCTGAATACAAATCATAAATTTCGTAGTCGTATGAAAAAGCATGCCTCAACTTTATCGTGGAAAGATGTACTTTTTAGCATGAGAATGCGTGCTCATGACAAATTGGATATTATTCATTAAATATGTTTAAAATACGTTTAAATTGCATTTTAGGTTTCTTTTTGAAGCTTTTTACTAAAAATACCTAGTTTTATTCGCGCCTTACTCCTTTCTCAAAATCAGTGTATATTGGCTGGCATGGAAATCGTCTTCAGAAACACTTTAGGGTCAGTCACCCAGTAATTGATGTGATAAAATAGTAACAAAGTGCCAAAAGAGGGCACCTAATTTTTAGGGGAACTGTACCTACCAGGCCCCCCCCCCCCATTACCCCTTCCCGACAAACTGAGAACAAAGGATCATTGACATTTTTTGTCATTTGCGGTCTCATAGTGATCGGTGCACTTCCTAGTTGTCCCAAAAAGTCCAATACTATGCTTCTGTTTATTCCATTTGACACAGATCATTTTCAAATATCTTGCAGCTTCTCAGTGGAGGTGTGTGCAACGCCATCATCCGCATCCAAGCAATGCCCCCAGTTGACCATCTTCCCCGTTGGAAGGGGGGACTCCGGCATGTACACTTGCATGGCCACATTACTACGTCACACATCAGCTCCACCACTAAATAGACGACGACAGGGAAAAGAGCAGGACTGGGGAGAGGGAAGTGAAGCAGAGAAGGGGAGGGAGGGGCCGATCATCCGCTACTACCCTGTCCACAAAGTCAACCTCCTAGTTTACGGTAAACACAAGTCACAATTCCCCCCCCCCCCCCTCCCCACCAACTACACATAAACATCAAAGCATCGCAATAGATTTCTACTATTTTAGAATATTAAGGTCATGCTCTGAACAAACTATCTTCGCAAATAAAATGAAACTTTTGAGGACCAATTCAGTTTTGATCAATTTAATTTCAATTAATTTCAATTATGATGGGAATAAAGACACTGCACTGCGTCTTGAATTAAGAAGCAGCCATTGATGCCATGGGAGACTATCAGAACTTGTTTTAAACTTTAACAAATTACACAGCAACTGACTACCCCTGTTATTACGACGTGATGCATTGAAATTGACACAAATTATCTATTTTATCCACTCTTTTTTGGGGATGCATTAAATTTTTTTCCTAAAGTAGACGTACGATTTTGAAAAAATGGGCCCATTCAACCCCATACTGAGAAAACGGGGACCAAAAATGGAGCCCCCAATTTGCAAAAAAAATGGGCTCATTTATCTCCTTTTGGTAAATATTGGCCTCATTGAGCTCATTTTTTCTAAGGTGGGATCATTCAGCACCCTCCTTGGAACAAAGAGACTAAAATGAGGACCAGTTCCGACCAGGGTTGATATTTTTCAGGTTGTGTACAACGAATGGTAACAACAATTATACAAACAAGACGTTAATTTAGCACGTTAAGGGTATCCTTACCATAAATCTACGCAGGAGACTGAAAAGCTAAAGTCATCAAGTACTGGTGCTTAAAAAGACGTACAAAAATTGGCTTAAAAGGACGACCAGTGCAATCAATGCAAACCAGTCAACAGTTTGTCGCAAATTATAGAAACTGACCTTTCATTACAAAAAACATGATGAAGTTCCAAAAATCGACACAACTGCAAAAATTCAAGCAAAACAAGGATAATCTAGGCTTCATGAGAGTAAAATGTCAATCAAGTATCGAAGTTGTCATTTACGACAGAAATTTCTCTCCGAATTAAGGCAGAAGATTTGCCGGAAAATAAAAGTGTCGATTGACACCCCTGATGAGATCAAATTTTTTGGGAAAAAATGTCTAAAGAAAGTACTGATTTGAGCAGCAAGCCATACTGCCTTGTGGTCTCTAACGACTACCCAAAATATCATAGAATGACTGAAATAAAAAAAAACATTTCTGTACAGGAGAAAACTGAAATAACCCGTAAAATGCTCTTTAAATACTTCCAATGGAGCACGTTTAGAGTATCCTCACCATAACTGTACGCAGGAGACTGGAAAGCTAAAGTCATCAAGTACTGATGCCTAAAATCAGTTTGAAAGCGAGAGAACTGGAACGAGTGGTATAAATTACTTTCGAATCTGAAAAACGGTCGGTAATAGTCTGAAAACTTTGACAAAGTCACCAACTGACAGAGCAAAATCTGTTTTTTTAACTGTTTTCCTTTTTCTTCATTTTTTGATACGTTCATTTTTCAATCAACAATTTTTACATTGGCTTCAAAGTGCAGTCGGAACATCAAGGGCTTCACCCTGATATGCGAGCAGTCAATTTGTTTCGAGGTTTGAAGATAGTGCAAAATTTTTTTGCTTGGGGTGGTTTTATTTACTCAATCAAGTTTTGGCAATCGAAGCAATAGTTTTTTGTCAAAATTTTGTACCATATTAAAGGTAGTAATTTTTGCAAGTTCTGGGTGTATGAACATTCTGGATTAATTTATGCGCACTTTGAAGATTAATATTATGATGCGAGAAGCATAATGCAAATATTTTATGCGTGGCGATTTATCAGCGCTACCAAATCAATCCAAATTGAACTTGGGCAAGCAGACTTACTTGACCAAAAATTGACCAAAAATTATTCGATACAGATTGAAGAGCACTCGTTGCATTCAGCGCTTTGCTCGATAAACTTCCGCGCAGTATCTTTTACAGTGCAACTTTGAAGAAAAAAAGATCGTAAAAATTTAGCATAATTAATATGGTGCAAACTTTTTTTGCAAGTTTCGGGTCAAGAAGTTTTGTCGAAAACAATTCATTTTTGGCTTCACTAGTCAAACAAAAACACACCAAAACTATAGGGTCAATTGCTAACAACACTTTATTAAATTGAGTTTTTCGTGGTGCCCAATAAACAGTCGCCCAGTAAAATTTAAGATAGGTATAATTTTTTCTATTTGTAAAAACAATTACTTTTATTTGTTAGATAAAAAATGTCATTTTTACCATAAAAACATATTTGAAAAAATAACTTTTAATCGTTGTGCAAAAATGTTTGAAGATTATAACTCTATGGGTATAAATTCTAAAAATTTGGGTAAAAAATTGTAGTTAAATTGTTGTTAAAATTTAAAAAAAGTTAAGTAGTAAAATCAACATTTTTTGGCTATTATATAAGAGGAAACTTGTTTATACACAATTGAGATACCATACTCTGCTTAATTTTTGTAAGGTTACATTTAAGGCTCACCTTGATATAGTTTTATTAGCAATAGACCCAGCAGTTTTGTCATAATTTTTGATTGACACCAAAAAACCAAACTATTCGTTTTTGGTGAAAAATTTTTAGTCCGAGCTTTGCAGAATAAATTGCACCGTATTGATTACGATAAACTTCTAACTTCTATTTGTGAAAAATGCCCTTTCAGTTTCCAGTCCGGATAATTTCAGTTATTCGCTCTGTCCGGATAATTTAAATTAACACTGTATTTGGTAATATTTTGCTTTAGTTTTGTGTAAATTTCAGGCATCACTCCATATTTGAACTGTAACTATCTTTCATCTCCCGCTCTGTTTTATCTATTGACTCTTAGGAATTGAATCAAAATGGACGAGTTTTTGCTAATTTTCGGCCGATTTTTTTTCCTTGCACGGACTTTCTTCAGCCAAAATTAGTCGTGTGTCGAACAGTCTAAGCATATCGAGCCTGGGTCGTGATAGTCAATTTATAAATAGAAAGCTCGACCAGGCTTTTGTTTTGAAAAATTTGATTGGGTATGTGTGTGAGAGTGTATGTTTATTTAGATCTGCCTCTGTTCTCCACCGGGAAGGAGAGGGAAGTGACCCTTCTCACTGGAACACACTCTCTAATCCCCTGCCACGCCCACATGCCAAAAACAACAACAACAACAACAGCAACAAGAACTACAAGTTCAACTATGACAGAAGAGTCAGCAGACATCAGACACAGCAGCAGTAGTAACAGTAGTAACAGTAGCAGAAGGGGTGATGGTTCAGTCCCTGTCTCCTGGTCCAAAGTGGGAGCCCTTCTAGATCCTCTCAGGTATCACAAGCCTAGACAACAGATCTCTCGGATCTACTTAACAATCTCCCCCCTTTCAATAAAGGAAGGGGGGGATTCTTTAGTAGATACAATGGGGAGGGGGGGGGGAGATTGTTAAGTAGATCCGATGTGTCATACAAATCATAATTTAACCTTCGAATAAAGAAGAAAACTTTGAAAATACTCAATAAAACGACGCATTTGGTACTGATTAGCAATTAGTGTTTTTGTTATTGAGTCAGTTTTCTTGAAGTGTTTAATTTTTTAACGGGACTTCTTGTTGATTCAATAGAATAATTTTAATCATAAATTTTTGAAAACTACTTTTCTGGAAACACAATTTTATAGCGTTTGAGAGTTTTTTTGCTGAATTCTTAAGAATCTGTTTCTTGTGGTTTCTAAATTTTATGTGGATAACGCCAGCGAAAAAACGAAAAAAAAAAAGTTTTTAAGAAATGTATTAAGTTGTACGTTTAGTTCTATCAATAGACCGATCCATTGGATCTAAGAAATAAGACATCTTTTAATCTGCGCTTAATGAGATATCTGAATACGTTTCGTGCTGGTCTAATAGTGTTCTCCCAATCGATTTAGTTTTTGTGAATTTATATGAAGAACTCTGTGACTAGATATCCTTTGGAAACAATTAATTTATTATCATTATTATGAGTATAAAACTGTTCTTATCTGATGAGTATAAAACTGTTCATTCTGGGTTTTTATTGTGTTTGATAGAGTTTGGACGACTGAGGATGGGTCTCTGTCTATCCGGAATGTGAGCAAACAGACAGCAGGCACTTACATATGCACAGCCTATCTCTACTCCGCCGTCCAAAACCCCCCACCCACACCCTACAACAGCAGCATCAACAACAACATAACAGAGAGAGGGGGAGGAAAAAGGGGGTGGGTTGTTGCCAAGAGTGAGTCAGTGGTGCATCTGGTGGTGAAGGGTAAGCAAAAATAAGAAGCAAGAGAGGGGGGACCTAATTATTATACACGAGCAGTTGAGTCTCAGACAGAAAGCGATGAGTATAATTGAAAAGGGTTGTAAGAGGTCCCTTTCTTGTGTTTTGGTTGTGATGTCATGGTCAAATTCATTATTAGGGACTGTTTAGACTCCATGGCGTTCAGAGTGGAGCCGAAGGATGAGGAGGTGGGGGTGGGTGAGGATGCTCTGTTCCACTGTGCCGCAGACAACTCATCTGTCATATTCTGGGAGCTGCACCCAAAGGTACGACATAAGTATACAATCCACTCACATCAACTTAGGCTCACCCAGCTATTACTGAACACGAAACCCCTCCCCCCATCTCGAAGCAGAGGCTATTCAGAAGCAAGAACTTGTCTCATTTCACCTAAGATGTCACCGGCAGCTTGATGCCCTTTTGGTAGTCTCTCGACAAGCACTGTATTGTAAACGTATTTGGTTACAATTTCATGGTGTTTGATTATAAGTGTCTGGCTTGAACACAAAATTATTACATTAATGGCCTGATTTTTTGATTTTTTTGGCGCTGTTTGCTTGAATTTTTCCTTATTTTCCCATAGAGTCTCAGATAATAAGTTACATAGATACATTGGTAGTTTTTATTAATAGAAATTCATACGAAACGCTTTAGACAATACTGAAAATTTTCTTTTTAAAATTCAGGCAAGTACCACACTCATTTGTACTTTAGATAGCGCGTAGCAGGATACAATGAAGAACAGTTTTTTGTAATTTGTAATTTGTATCATTTTTCGTAACCTTTAACTTTTTCATAGATGTTACAGGACACTCAGAACATCTAAGTCTTTGCCCTGATTTTTAAAATTTTTGTAATTGAAATTGATGACGATTACCAGCGCAACTCGGGAAGATTTTTCGAAACTTTTGTCTTTTAAAATTTTGGGTTGATAAAAAGTCGGAACAATGTGGCGTCCCGCGACAGAGTTTCATGGATAAAAATCGATAATAATGGAAAAAAGTTGTCAAACAAATATTGTCATTATAATCCATTAGGTAGCAAATTTAGACCACAAAATTGACTATTTTGTATTATAATCGATTATTTCCGTAAAAAAACAATCCGTTAAAATCCCATATATTAAATTATAAGTCATTTAAAATCCATTAATATTGATTACAATGGATTGTAATCTCTATATTTTTTTTGCAAAATGAAAATACTCACGGCCTACTCGAATTCTAAATCTACTCAATTTTATAACGCCCGTTTAATCCTCTTACCAGTCATTTTCTCCACTCTCGTTCACCCTTTCCCCCTGTTTATTCTTCTTAACCCTACCCCACCCCTACTTACCCCCACCCCTACCTACCTAACATTTTTTTATATTATCAGTTCATCAAAATTTTTTTGATGCTCTGAAAAAAATTGCTTGTCAAAAAATTTAGCTCACAAAACGAATGTTTGGGTAAAAAACCACAAAATTTTTGATTATCGGAACAAAAACATATCGTTTTTGATTTTGACACTGGAAAGCTCTGATCAAGCATATCCTCGCCAGTTTTTTCAATATCGACAGTTTGAAAATCATTGGCTGCTACGTATATTTTACAAATGTTATCAACTTAAATATCCTTTCACTGGTGTAGAGGACGTAATGACAGTTGTGAAAAATCGATATGGTTCTATTTTCTAGAACAGACTGATTCATAGCTAAAACGTACTTTCATTGGGGATCGAATTGCACTCCGAATAGTCGGAACATCAAATGACAATTGGAACAACATTCCGCCTTCAAAAGTTACATGAGAATCAGAGTTGAAACACTTCATAGCTTTCATAAATCTATACAAGTACCGTGTTTTATTTTTTAAAATCATTTGTGAAAAGAAGTGTTTGGTGCTTTTATCAGCAACAGAAAACTATCAATTAAATTTTATTAACAACTTTTTTTGGAAGAAGCGTTTTGATCTCACTAGGCTGCGCGAGGCAAAAATCTGAGCAAAGTTATTCACAACTCATGGAATTTGAAAAAGACACGAAATAAAAAACAGTTATGATCAAATTGGTTCAATGCATTTGCTGCTTCAATACAATTGACTTCAATTTTTGAAGAAATATGGATCATTTTGAAGTACTTTGTCAAACAAAAAAAACTTCGGCAATCAAAGTAAAATTTTTCAGAAAAAATACCCTCATGAAGATACCGACACCTTGAGCTCAAAATCAGAAAGCTAATTTCAACTGTGAAAATAAGCAGTTAAGACCGAATTGGAAGTTTTGCTCCATTCAACTAGATTAAATTTTTAAAGAGGTATGGATCATATTGAATATTTTTGTCAAACAAAAAACTTTAGGACATAAGAGTAAAAAGTTTCAAATAAATTAAATTATACTCTCATGAAGATACCGACACCACCTTGAGTTCAAAATCAAAAAGATAATTTCAATTGTAAAAATATACAGTTAAGACCGAATTGGAAATTTTGCTCCATTCGCATTTGGATTCAATTTTTGAAAAGGTATAGACCATATTGAATATTTTTGTCAAAAAAAAAAACTTTAGGCCATCAGAGTAAAATTTTTCGAAAAAATTAAATTATACTCTCATGAAGATACGGACACCTTGAGTTCAAAATCAAAAAAAAATAATTTCAACTGTGATCAAGAATTTCTGAGAGTTTGAAGACTTTAGTCATAACCTTGAACTTATTTATGCGTTTTTTTTTTGTAGTGATGAACAAACAGTTTCGTACTTATTTTTGACTCTGGTATTCTTCTCATTCCATGAATTTTTTTAATTAAAATTTTTGCTCAGGTTTTTAGTCAGGGTTTCAAGAAAAATCTTTTTTGAATAAATGATAAAAAATGGATTATCAAAAACCCGTTTCAATCTAAACGATTTTTTGATTTTTTATCAAAACATTGTTTGTTTCGGATATCAATCATTTTTGGTCGAGAAACATAATTCATTTACTTCAAACCTGTTTCTCTGGTTTCACTCATTTTTTTTGGTGATTATTCTGTGATTTAAAACCAATTTAAATCAACTTGATCTAAATCAAACAACCCTGTTTTTAGTGCCATTGTTTTTGAGAGTCGAATACAATAATACTATACCAACCAACTCAGTGTATGAATGAAGTTTTGCAGAACCCACCGAGACTTGGGGAATCCGCAATAAGTAGCTATAGTTGCTCGTTGAGGGTTGCGCGACAAAACTAACGTGCTGACAAACTAGACGTTACAAGGTGTTCGTGCGGAAATTCAGCAACTTTTCGGTTTTTCGGTACGTGCCTGCACTGGATTTCCATGAATATAAACTAATCAAAACTGATTTTTTTTGTCAGTGTCTACAAAAGTGAAAATTACTCGATTAAATCAATTATATATGGAACATTTTGCCATAATTTGAAAAAGCCTTAAAACTTTTTGCCATTCAATTGTATTAGCTTTTTTCTCACTTCTATAGATAAGACAAGGAAACTTCATTATAATCAATTTTTCCACTTTATTGAGATGCAACGTTTTAAAATTAAGTTCAACTTTTGTCTCTGCTTGTTATTTTTTTCAAATTCTTGTTATTCATTTTATATTTCTCAATTTTATTGCTTCCAACAATTTTCTTAACTTGCTTAAAAACTTTAGGGGAATTTTGGGAAACGTTTTTATAGATATATGTATGTTTGTATGTATGTATAAATCTATGTATCTATGTATGTATGTTTCTTTGTATGTATGTATGAATGTATGTATTTATGTATGTATGCATGTATTTATGTATGTATGATTGAATGTATGTATGTAAGTATGTAAGTAAGTAAGTATGTATGTATGTATGTATGTATGTATGTATGTATGTATGTATGTATCATACATACATACATACATACATACTTACTTACTTACATACTTACATACATACATTCAATCATACATACATAAATACATACATACAGACATACATACATACATACATACATACATAATGTATGTATGTATGTATGTATGTATGTATGTATGTATGTATGTATGTATGTATGTATGTATGTATGTATGTATGTATGTATGTATGTATGTATGTATGTATGTATGTATATATTTATGTATGTATGTATGTATGTATGTATGTATGTATGTATGTATGTATGCATGTATGTGTGTATGTATGTATGTATGTATGTATGTATGTATGTATGTATGTATGTGTGTATGTTTGTATGTATGTATGTAGTATGTATGTACGTATGTATGTATGTTTATATGTATGTATGTTTGTATGTATGTATGTATTTGTTTATGCAAGTATTGTAAGTATTTAAGTAATTTTGACAGGAGTCGCGAGCCAAAAATGCAAAATTTGAGTACACATCTTCCAAAATTGGCCTTTTTGACTTGTATTCTCAACAATTGACCAAAAATCATTTGGCCAAATGTAATAAATTCAAGAATTACAACGTAGGGGGCTGGTTTTGATTGAGGTTTGGTGGGTAAGGGATATAGAGGCAAATGTTGGGGGTGTAAGTTGGTAAAGAGCCAAACGTTGGGGGATGAGAAGAGGTTGGTTATGATGATGAGATCGGATGGTTGGTTCTTTTGGTAGGGAGAGGGTGTGGGTTGGCTGGAGTAAAGGACAAGGGGACAATTTTTAGGGGAAAGGTAAGTTGGCAAAGGGCAAAAATAGAGGTGGGAGTGCAATTATTTTGCAATTTGACAAAATCAATTTTGGAAATCGAGTACGCAAAACAATTATAAATTGGAAAAAATTCTTTTTAATCAATTTTAAATTGATTAAAAAGATGAGTTTTTGTTCCTTTTTGTTGTCTTGTTAAAATTTTAGACCATAAAATCCATTGTGATTGATTTATCTTTCACTTTTCTTAGATGCGGGTGGTTTCCACCTACAATAGTAGAGCATATTTATAGACTTGTATCCGGATTCAAGTGCCGGTCTAATACTTTCTCGAGGAGGGGTTGCAAAAGATTTTTTCTACTTTTGTTTAGTTGGACCGAATTAATTTTCCGAGCGCTCCCACAATCCAATAAAAACCCTATTTTGACAATTTTAGCGCCACAGACAAATCTTTGAAAAAGCAAAAGCGCCCGTTTTTGGGCTCTTTTTGGAAAATTTTAACAAAAAAACCTGAAGAACATTTTAGGGTTGGTCAGCCGAATAGAGACGTCATAAAATAATACCAAACGTGGGGACCCTTTGGTTGGTGATGGAGTCAAATCCCTGAGGGGGGGGGGGGTATCCGCCCTTCCCCCTAAATCCGTCTCTGTGTAGATTCCAGGTGCCTATACGCACCAATTGGTGCATATGGGCTCCTGGAATACGGAGACAAGTCTTTACATTGTTCTCAAATTGCAAGTGGACCGCAAATATCCAAGGATCAGTTTGGCCTCGTAAGGAATATTATTTGTATTCCGACCCTAAAAGTTTTTCTAAAAGTGATGTAAAAGGTATTGACGATCTGCGATCCTCCATTTTAAAAATTCTCTATTTGGCTATAGTTTGACCAATTAACGCGCGATTAATTTTGTATTGTTAAGGCTAGTGTAGCGAAAAAAGGGCTCAAAAAACATTCCAAATTGAATTGGGGCAAGCTATTTGGTCTTACTCACACGGTAATAGTAGCTAAATACATCACTTTGAACTTTGCCGAGCGTGTGGGAAATTATTCCAAATAAAAATTTGAAGGAAAGAAAAAATTTTCAAAGTTACATCACTTTTTAAATCAAAAAATTTTTTTAGAAGTTTTTTTAGAAATCAAACGGCAGTCGAAGAACTTGGGGCTTTTCCCTGATACAAAAAGTTTTATGTTCTCAAAAGGGGGTGGCAGGTTCTTTAGTTCGTTTTTGCTATTTTATACTATGTTTATTTGTCAATTTTATACCATGTTTTTTCGGGACTGTTGTTTGTTTAACACGGGTGTCTGTTGTTTGCTTATGTAACATATCTCCCCCTTTGCTCAGTTTGTCTTCTGCAACTGAGTCAACAAATCTGTTGCTCGTTTGTCGACCACGCCAGAGCAATAACCGCCTGTAAGCTTATTAATATACTCAGTGAAAAAAGTAGGAAAAAAGGGAGAAGCGAAATAATGTGATATGGACATACTCTACCTACATGCACCATTTGGTTTCTTTGTTAAAAGTTTGGAAATTGGAAAAAAAAAATCAAATATCACAGTTCAAATATCTGGTTTTATTTTCTCCTTTCCCCAGCTGCGAGTTTTTTTAAGTAATTTTTTGGTTCACCGTTTCCGATTTTCACAAAAACTGGCATGCATGCATGCTAAAAAGGCAGGCCGCCAATGACAAACTTATTTGGTCTTGAAATTTAACTTGCAAAACCACTCGCTACACCGACTCTGAATGACGACTTAGAAGTCTGTTCTATGATTACATCACCTGATCTCAACTGATGATTTTTCTACTCAAATTTTTTTTTGAAAATTCAACCCCCTCACAAGTGAACTCATAAGCTAGCCGATAAAACTTGCGTCCAAAATAGCTTGTCTCAATTCAATTTTCACACCACGGAGCCTGATGAACTGACCATAGCTTATGCCTTAAAAGTTATAGAAAAAAAATAAAGCAAATTGTATAAATTGACCATTTTTAACCGCCAATAAAACGGACTAATTATAGGGGGGAAAATTTACTCTAAGTTAATTTGAACTCAATCAATGACAATTTTTGAAGAATTTTTTTGAAGATATGAAATATAACGACATATTGAAGATCATAAAATGATAAAATGTTCACCTGCAAAGTTTTTTGTTAAATAAACTGGGATTTGAAATGGCCAATTTGGTATAAAAACGAGGGCCACATTTTCAAACTTTTTAATCAATCTGCAGACAGCGATGTATTCGTCTTTTTGATTTAAATTATTGTCAGATAATTTTAGACAAGTAAATTTTTCAAATACTGAGTTAGTAGCTGCAATTGTTGTCCTGAGTTTCGAAGAAAGTATTGATATGTGGGGTTAATTTTTCTTCAATTGTTCAACTGGCCGTTTCGAGGGATTTTTTTTTCTACTATATGAAAAGTATTGATACCTTGAGCTCAAAATACAAAAAAATATCCGTTGATCTTTTTCCGTATAACTATCGTCTTATGAAAATTGCTAGTTTGAGACAATTAACGATAGATTTTGTGCTGTTAGCGCCTGAGTGGCTTGTTCAGTGGTTCAGAAAAATTTCTAAAACAAATGATAGACTCAACTCAATTAGTGTTACAAAAATAAGACATGAAAATTTTAAGTCAAAAAATCATTAAATCAAAAACATAACTTTTTGAGTATTTTTTTTTCTTCAAATTTTGAATTTCTCTATGGGTAAAAAAATAAAGCGAGTGCTGAGTCAACTTAAGACATTCAATTTGACTTTTTTAGAGCGGAATAAGAACAAACATTTTCGAATAATTTTAGCATAGAAATTGAGCATGAGCAGGTGATAGCTTATTCTATATTTAGAAATGGAAACGTTGAAGAATTGCTTTGAGCGTTTTAATTTCCTCAGAAATTTAAGCAGTTTTTGGTATAAAATCTATTAAAAAAACTGATATTCTAATAACAATTGTCTGCTGAATTGCCAAACACCAACAATTTGGTCTAATCAATACGTTGTTAGACCCTTGTTAAAGTATTCAGTTCTTTAGGTAGCCTGGATGGTGGGGCGAGATTTACAGGGCAGTCGAAACATTCAGGCATTCGCCTAGAAATGAGCCATCTTGTTCACACTCATTTCGATTTTGCGTTTAAGCATTGCGTATAGAAGTTATTTCAAGCTGAAAATTTTAGTTATATTTTCCTTTTGGGCACCTTAAATTTTCCTTAATTTGAAATTTTTGATTAATTTTTTTTTCTGCGCGATTGAAGTTTTTAAGGAAAAACACGAGAGCCAAAAAAGGCAAGTTTTGGTCAATCCTTCCTTAAAGTGCCAGCAAACGGCATTTCTAATAATACTTTCATTAATTGCTATCAATAATAAAAAAAATCAACGAAGCTGTTCGCATCATGGCAAAGTCATGAATGTTCCGTTAACTTTTTAATACGTTTCGAAATGTTTTTGAAAAATAGAACATTGATTGGCACTTTTGGCAAAGTAGTCTTTTATTTGCGATATTTTCATCGCCAGTGTTTTGACGTTCGCTAATTTGTAATTTTGGGCTATTTTGCGAGTCCGGCTCAGGAATTTCTTCCAATTATCTTGATGCGAGCCACTTGTTCCTATTTTAATTTTTTTAGACGGTAATTACATCTATCTGTGTGGATGGTAATTACATCAACTTTACTCAGCCTGTGAAAGGAACTAAGAGGGAAGAATTTTTTTTGAAGAAATTTTTTTGGAAACTTTATCAATTTCTTAATTTAGTCGAAAACTGTTCCATACACTTTTAGGAGCAGCCGGAAAATTTTACGCGTTCCCCTGATATGAGCAGTCTTCTCTACATTTCAAAATTTACGGGATACATCTCAACGCATAAATAGTTCGCGTTACGCTTCCAGCATTATATAAAAAATCTTTAAAGCGAGAATAAGTTCAAAGCGTCCGAGATAATTGCTTTATTGAAAAAACTTGTTAAAAACTGATCGCGGGCGATTTATTGTTTTACAATTCAATTCATTCCGGAAAAGTCGCCACGTTTAAATGAGTTGCGTGAAAGCATCATAGATAAATTCTCGAAAGCGCGCACAATTAAGTCGAAGATTATGGCCAAATTGGAAGTTAATAAATCTTCAGAACTTTACCAAAATGGGGTCTTATGCTCTAAACGGCCCAAAATCAATGTTTGTATAACTTGAGCTGAAAGTTATGCGGTTGAACCTGATTGGCCCAATCAAACTCAAGCAACATGGTCAGGCATTTCAGTCAACGTTTCTAGCAGATAAAAACTTGAGCCGAAATTAAAGAAAATGTAAAACTTGGTCACATAAAAAAAGTAATTTTACGTCATTCGTGAAACTTTCCCCAGACAAGATTTTATCTGCTTGAAATATTAATTGACGAAACGTACGCGTTGTTGAATTAGCCAATCAGACTCAACACAAAAATTTTTAGTTCTATGTAGAAAAACTAATTTTGGGTCGTTTAGTGCATAAGACCCCCAAAATGAACAGAACGCAGGTCAAAATGATTTTAGAATTTGATTTGGGAAACAATAATTTCATCGAAGTATAAAAATTGTTGGCTGAAATTTAGTGTTTTGATTGCTGAAATTGGTTTAAAAGTCGGAGCAATAATGTGCGAGGGTCATGATTGATATCGCTTAATACTACGCTGAGTTCATCATTGAGATTATATGTGTGATGCTATGAACAAAGTGAGGATAATAAGAGTGAATCGTACACTGACGGAAAAAATCCACCAAGTATCATGTCTCAATTTGCAAGTGTGTTTAGGATGGTGAGCCAGAGATCCTGTTTCCCCTGCAGGTGGAGGACAGACAGGGACTGCACATGGGCGTCTACCCCAACAACAGCCTCTACATCAGGGGACTCCTCAGGGGGCAGAGACAGGGGGAGATCACAGATGGACTTATGCACCTCATGGGGGTGACGTGTGTGGCAGATTCACACAGGGCGCACGCCAAACTAATAGTCAAAGGTAAGAAAGAAATAAAGAAGATACAGGTAAAATAAGTTTTTCACGCCTAAATCTTTTAGTTCAGCGATTTGATCAATTCAAAAATTAGAGACAAAGTGTGTTTTTTCTTACTGATTTTAAATCCATTTGTGTTTTTTAATAAAGCACTGATAGTTTCGACGTTATTCGGATTCCAAAAAATTATCAAAAATGTCTTCTCAGTGTCGACAAAAGTTGATCTGCAACTTTCATTTTCCTCTCCATTTTTTATTGAGTAATGTACGAAGGATTTGCGTAAGTTTTTGTAATTCTATTTTAGTTTCTACGTTGACTTAGCTATAATAACTTCATTGTCCAATTTTCGAAAAAAAATTGTACTGGAGCAAAACAAAGTTTTCGTGATTTATCCTTTTATAATAAACTTTACTTGCTCGAAATTGAACTTAAACTCAAAATATCTAAATCCGTTTTTCTCGACACTGGGACAACGTGTCAAAGTTTTTAAATGTCTTTCAAATCAGAGTTGCAAAGGTTTCATTATGATTTATCAGTCCACTCAATCTAATGATTAATTGTGTTAATTGATTTGGTTGACGAAAAAAAAACAAAAAAGCCTGCTTGCTCATCTTATTTACTCAAAAAACGCCAAAATAAAAAAAAATTAAACGAGTTTTTCACGACACTGAAAAAATGTTTTGAGTTTCTCTATGTCGTTTGAAAAAGACTGAAATTTTTTTTAATGAGATATTTTAGGAGATATGAGATACGATGATTATTTAAGGTACTTGATTTTGTCATGTGATGAAAAACAAAGAAAAACGAAAACTTTTCTCCCAATTTTCAATGGTATGAAAAAAAAGTTTTTGACCTTGAAACGAAACATTTATTTTCCTATTATAATATTTGTATGTGCGACTCAATCAAAATCGCCTACATTAATTCAATTGCAAACATGCAACTTTTTGAACATGTTTTGCATTAAAATGTCAGGCAAACAATCTCCAATTTAAAACCATGATAGCCGGTAGCTATGCAAATAGCACAGGATGTTACGACGATATTCAGAAAAAAAGAAAAACCTTTTATGTTTGATTTTCTTCAATTTAGTGTCGTTTTT